GGGGGCCACCAGGGGCTTTGGGGGCACCAGGGGCTTTGGGGGCCACCAGGGGCTTTGGGGGCCACCATGGGGCTTGGGGGCCACCAGGGGGTTTGGGGGCCACCAGTGGGCTTGGGGTAAATGTTCAGGTAATTTCTAAAGACTTTGCTGATTGGTTTGTGGGCCATCATCATCATCATCAGAAGGCAGCTCTCTGGAACCTTCTGGCTGGTACCAGAACCTCGGCCCGGTTCTGGTGAGGTCAGTCAGCATTGATCTAATCTCACTGACAAAAATAATCTAGAGCTGAAATCTGTTGAACTTTGATCCCTGAAAACATCTGCATGCTCTCCAGAGACAAAACAAGCTCTGTGACCCCCAACATGGAGGGGTCATGGGTCAGCATCTCGGGCAGAGACGCCATGTCCTCCAAGTTGCCATGGCGATGCAGCTTTCTGCAAACGGATCATTTTAGTGCATCTTCTCGCCCAGTCCTGGGTCTGGTCACGGTGTCCGGCCCGGTTCTGCCCGTGGTTCCAGTAAACATGACCTCGATCTGAGCGGGACATGAATGAAGCAGCAGGTGGGTCGGGGGCCCGGTATGCAGAACCTGGCCCGGGTCCAACAGAACCAGACAAGAGAGACAAGGACTTGCATGAGAGCTACAACTTTCGGTTCTGACTTTGCTTCCTGTGCTCTGATGGACTCGGTTCATTAGCTTGGTTCTGCTCCACGAGGACGGACTGGGTCGGTCCGGAACCCAGAGAACCTGCTGTTGGTTCTGCTGGGTCGGTAATGGATCAGCTCCTGAGAAAACTGAGACCTTGTGTCGAGAAGCGGAGCATCGGCTCCTCCCTGAGGTTCTGGAATGAAGGGAAGGATTGTTACTGCGAGGCGGAGCTGCTGAATCGGGTCAGGGCTGTAATCAGAACCGGAACAGCGGCCTGAGGTGTGTGTGTGTGTGTTAGCAGGGCTCCCTCTTTAAACACCTCCAACCAGTTGCTGCTCTGGTGCAGCCAGCAGCCAATCAGATCTCAGGAATAGTGATGACCCATCAGCCAGATTATCCACATTGACAGATTATTTACTGCCTGGTTCCGTCTGCAATCCCTACAGATTTAAGTCTTTGGGCTTTTGCTGATAAAACCTGGAGCTGCAGAGTCCGGATCCAGATCCTGATTTGGATCCTGATCCTGATTTTTTCCTGCAGGACCTCTGGGGTCATGTGGAGGAGATCGAGCTTTCCAACGACGGCTCCGGTTTGGGCTTTGGAATTGTTGGCGGGAAGACGAGCGGAGTGGTTGTCCGAACGGTGATCCCTGACAGCGTAGCCGACAGGGTGAGTCTGCTTCCTCTTCCTGAGGTCGAACCAAAACAACAACTGATCGGGTTTTCTCCCGTTGTCCATTCAGGATGGGCGTCTCCGCACAGGTGACCACATCCTCCGCATCGGGTCGACGCCCACCAGCGGCCTCACCAGCGACCAGGTGGTCAAGGTTCTGCAAGCCTGCGGCGGTCATGTGACCATGCTGATCGCCAGGGACCCCCAAGGACAGGCGGCCACCGCCCCGGCTGCGCCTGCGCCTCCTGACTCCGCCCCCTTCGTTAACGTACCTCCTCCACTTCCTGACTCCGCCCCCGTTACGTCCTTACCTCCAGGTCCTCCTGTAGCCCCGCCGCAGCGCCGGCCCAGCAAGACGGTGAGCCTTCGGTTCAAATGGTTGTCATGACGACGTGAAACTGTTTTACCCTCTTTACTCGGTTCTGGTTCTGGCTTCAGCCCAACCTGGAGGGATACGAGATCCATGAAGTTCCCCTCACCAAGAAGGACGGCCAGAGCCTCGGCATCTCCATCGTCGGCTTCAATCCACTGACCAGCCAAGGTGGGCGGTCGGTCCTGGAACCGGTCCTGGGTTTCGGAACGGGTCCTGGAACTGGTCCTGGTCCCGGGTCCAGATGTGAACATGAAGCATTCTGATGTCGTCTTCCTGTCTCAGATGCAGTGGGTGTGTTTGTGAAACACGTGGTTCCTGGCAGCGCCGCGGACCAGAGCGGAAACATCCGGGTCCATGACCGCCTCCTCGCTGTGAGTCCCTGACCGGGTCTGGGCTTTGGAATCCGTTTGAGACGGATTCTGGTGGGGACGGTTCTCTGGGATCAGAACCTCTGACCCATCAGGTTTTCCTCTCCATCTTGTCTCTCCATCAGCTGGACGACGTCAGTCTCCATGGAATGACCAACCAGGAGGTTCTGGAGGTGATGAAGCAGACGGGTCAGACTGTGGTTCTGACTCTGGTCCGGAAGAAAGTCCGAGGCCCGGAAAGATCCCTGGATAAAGGTAGGAGGGCGATACAGTAAGTAAGTAAATTTTATTTATATAGCACCTTTCAGACATAAACATCACAAAGTGATTTACAACAAAGGAAACGTCAATAATAAAAGAATCTAAAATGAACAAAATGAACCAAAAGCCCGTCTGAAGTCTTGAGACTTTTTAAATGCGTCGGTCGACTCGGAGCAGCTTTGATGGAGGGAGACGTTCCAGAGCCTCGGGGCTCCACCTGGACGGACAGAGAGGCTGCAGAAGGTCCAATTTATATTTGGGAGCCTCACCATGAAGTGCTTTAAAAGTTAACACCAAATTTTAAAGTGAGTCCTACAATACACCGGGAGCCAGAGCAGAGAGGCCAGAACCGGAGTTATGTGATCTGTTCTGTGGGTTCTGGTTCAAAGCCCGGCTGCAGCCATGGAGGATTCACTCAGAGCCACTAAAAGGCCGTTACAGAAGTCTGAACGAGAAGAAATAAAAATGGACAGACTTTCTAACTCATCATGTGATAAAATGGCTCGCAGCTTCGAAATATTCCTTAAATGGTCAAATCAGTTGCCAACTAACAGTTTGCAATGATTGTCCAATGACAGAACGCCCAGATTTCTGAGGCTATTTTTGTTCCCAGGGTTTAAAAACCCAAGATGCTTCCTGATTTCTGTGATTTTATCACCAGGAGCTACGATAAGCGTCTCGGTCCTGCCTGAG